TATGGACCCTCTCCAGAGAGAAAAAGCTATCAGGGAGGCGTGAATGTGTGTTTTTACGACGTGATTGTGTGTGTGAGCAGCAGAGAGGCCAGTGCACCAGTCTGGAAATAGGGGACACATTAATCTTATTTGTCATAACCTGTCCCTTGAGACGATCGGACCCCCCTGTCCCCCTAACCACCCACCCACCCACACACACACACACACACACACACACACACACACACACACACACACACACACACACACTGACCCCCTCCTGTGTGCTATCGGTATCTGCGACGGACAGAGAGAGTGAAGCTAATTACATGTGAGAGTTAAGACGGTGGAAACAAGACAAAGACCGTGCTGCTGTGTGTGTGTGTGTGTGTGTGTGTGTGTGTGTGTGTGTGTGTGTGTGTGTGTGTGTGTGTGTGTGTGTGTGTGTGTGTGTGTGTGTGTGTGTGTGTGCAGGACAAAGGGATATTATGCAGGACTCTCAATCTCTTTTCTCTCTGTGTTGTTATCATGGGGTTGGCCCTGCGGATGCAGTTCTTGTTGTGTACAAGAAAAAAATAATGGTTAGAAATTATTCTGATGAACTATCGGAAGGCAAGAGGTTTTATAGGGGAGAAGATATCACATGTTGTGAGCTCATGTGGGCAAGTTAGCACGGAAAATATAATTGATTTTTTGTCATTTAAACAGAGGCTTTATTGACGGTAGGTCAAATCTGTTGTTGAAGAGTGGAACTTGTCAGTTAACCGTCCTCTGACTTCAGACAGTCTGCCAACCTGAGTAAAATATGCCAATAGATTAAGTGCATTTCTGTCTCATATCGAAAACTAATGGAACAAGTAATTCTGATCAAAAGTAAGTCATGGCTTGAATTTGTGTTCTTCTCTCTCTCTATTACGTTACTGTCCCCCTGCTTCTCCTTCATCTCTCTCCCCTTCTACTCCTCCCTCAGGCCGAACTCCAGCTATCAGATTCCTCTCTGCTCGGTTCTTTTCAATTAGACATGTTGTTTGTTTGTGTGTGTGTTTGTCTCTGTATGTATGTATCTGTGTGTGTGACACCTTAGGAAAAGGCACCATGGTGAATTCTATTAAGAAGTTGTTCATTTTCCAACACGCAGCAAGTGTCCGCCCTCTCTTCTCTTCTCTCCTCTCTTCTATCCTCTTCTCTTCTCCTCTCTTCTCTCCTCTTCTCTTTTCTGAGTCACTCTATCAGGGCAGATGAGAGCATTAGTGGTGACAGCTGATTGCATTATAGGTGATATCATCCCATGTGCACAAGGGACACATACCGTCATTCATACCCTTTTAAAATGTTGTGGTTGCAGGGTGATCTAAACTGAAAAGAACGTACTTTGAAATAGTTAATGTGTTTATGTTAACAGCAGTTGACATGTAATGGATGCATACTAACATCTGTTCCTTGTAATTTTAATCCACCGTTTTTGTACCATCTATTCTCTTTTATAGTGTTGCAATTTAATGGCTTGTATTTTATTATATATTTGCAGAAGAAACATTGTGTTCGAGCAAAACAATACTATAAGATATTCTTACAGTGATACCATAGACTGTTAAAAAGTGTTTTTAGCCTCTGCGATCTTGTTTTCTTGAGGCCAGAAAGTGTACAAAATATCTATTACATTATGTTTCGTTAAACTTCTCCTACTGAAAGGATAGTTTCTGGCAGTAACAAATCAATGAAAAAAAGACAGAGGTGATTTTTGGACCCAGTGGTGGCCCCAATGCCCCGCCTGTGCTGGATTCTCTTGTCCCATATGTGAAACCCATTGTCACAAACCTGGGTATACGGATTGATCGTGATTTTAAACTAGACAAACAGATCAATTCTGTGGTAAAATCCAGCTTCTTTCAGCTAAGACTTTTAGCAAAGGTCAAGCCTTTCCTTTCTTTTAATGACTTTGAGAAAGTAATAAATTGTTTATCCACTAAACTGGATTACTGCAATGCTCTGTACATCGGAGTAAGCAAGGCTTCCCTGTCTCGTCTACAGCTGGTCCAGAATACTGCTGCACGCCTCCTTACAAGGACAGGCAGGTGTGAACATATTACGCCTGTACTCGCCTCGTTACACTGGCTACCAGTCAGTTTGCATACAAAGCCCTAAACGGTTTAGCCCCACCGTACCTGGCAGATCTTTTAAAACCATACACACCCACACGGTCACTGGGGTCGGCTGACAGACTCCTTCTGGTCGTCCCTCAAGGTTAAAGCAGCGAGGAGACAGAGCCTTTGCTGTTGCAGCTCCAAAGTTATGGAACGAATTGCCCCTCCAGGTTAGACTTGCTCTAACTCTCCCTGTTTTTAAATCTCGTTTAAAAACCCACTTCTTTTCCCTGGCATTTACAGGCCAGGTATGACACTTGTGCTTTTAAATGTGGGTTTTTATCTTACTAGTGTTTTGTATTGTTTTTACGTCATGTAGGAGAGTTTTTCAGTCTGTGGCTTATGATCTGGTTTCAATGTCTCGTGTTTTACATATGTTTCATGTCCTGTCTGTTTTTTATTGTTGTTTTTTTAATGTATTTATGATATGTTTTTATACAGTTGTTGATGTACAACACTTTGTTCAACTCTGTTGTTTTTAAATGTGCTATAGAAATAAAATGGATTGGATTGGATTTGTATATACTGTACAGTTGTTACCTTTAACTGCAGACCATATTATCATGTAGGGACTTTTAGCTCGTCCTGCAGCCGAACAATAATCCCTCTTCTGGACGTACGAAATGGGGCAGGTGGAGGAAACTCATACATCTCCAGTCTGTGTTTCATGGTGAGCCATTCATCATCGACATGAGTAAGACGGCCACCCTCTGTGCACCCTGGGATGGGAAAAAGGATTAAAACTTGGAGGTCAGCATCTTCACACACTCTTATCCTTTATGTAAAGTTAACTTACAGTTAGGCAGGTTTTCTTTACACAGACACGAGCATTCCAAGTGAGAAGATTCTTTGGTGTCATCATTTGTGCAATAAAAATGAAAATGAGCAACACAATCTCACTGTTGATGATGTTCAGACTATATGACACCAAAGCCAATTTACCGCAGACAAGATCAGTGTGTGTGCGTGTGCGTGTGTGTGTGTGGAGTCTATAAGACAGCCTGGGGGTTAATTAGAGAATAGTAAACAGAACACATGTGGCAGCTTAATATCCCCTCTGCCTTACAGCTTATTTCACACCCCACCCGCTCTGTTGCTCTCTCCCTGTTGTGTGTGTATGCATGTGTGTGTGTTTATCTGTATTGTTGGGGTCATGGGCGTTTCCCCACCACCTATCCCAGAGGTACTAGCCACCCCCCCTCTACACCCACCTACCCACCCACGCACAGCCGTGATGGTGGTGGTGCAGGTGTGTGTGTGGTGTGGAGGTAATTTAAACCAGATGAGGTGGAGTCTTTCAGCCTGTGGCCCTGTCACTTCATCAATATCCAAGAGATGGAGGGACGCTGGAATGAGGAGATGGATGGATGGGTGGAGGAGAAGAAAGGGGGAAAGCTTTGTCTCCCAAAAAAGGGCAACGGGAAGAGGACAAAAGATAAAGGAATCTATCTATCTATCTATCTATCTATCTGTTTCAAATACAAAAAAATACATAATTTAACCCATATTGTATCTGCACATCTTCTGATTGATTATTTATGTATTGTTGCTGCCTTTACTAAACAAAAGAGGGCCACATCTCTTTAACACTGTACTTTTTTAAGGGTATTTTTTTATTATTAATGACGAAATACTGAGGGAAAGGCTGCAGCAGCAATCATGACTTCGCATTTTTAAGATAAAATATGGTTCATATTCTCGGTTGTAGAGCATTCAAGGCTAAAGCTGATGTTATTTTATAGTTTGTAGAAAAGTTAGCCGTGAAATCAAACTTGAAAACGTTCAGAAACAGACAAGTTAGACTGGTTCTAATTATGAACTTCTTCTAGTGGTTATTCATTTTGGCCCTCAATCAGTTTAAAACTAGCTTTGGTTTGCTCTCAACACTTTTCAACTATACTAACTTTTGTGTTGCTCTTTTCCTCACCAGCCTATATATAGTAATAAAGTTAGGTTAAGTGAAAAGCCCTCCCTGACAATAAAACCCGTGTGAGTGTGAATTGGTAGTCTTTTTAGTCGGCACTGAGGCAATCATCTTCACTCTTCCACGGCACACTTACTCTCCCCTGCGTCTGTTCATTGTCAAAGTACTGTCTGTTTATGATGCCTCTTATTTCCTAATTATAACCACAAATTTCATAGGAGGTCTGGTTGCCGCATTCAAGGCATTTACGCTTGACGACGGGGAGCTTTCCCCCCCGAGCGTCGTAGTCTGAACTTCAGCAGCTCTTCCAGCGTGAACCAGCGACCGAGCAACAAAAGACCAATCTGTTAGACCAATAAATGAGCAGTCAGGTGTGTGTGTAAGTGTGTGTGTGGTGTGTGTGTAAGTGTGTGTGTGTGTTCCGGAGCAGTAAATGAACACTCTCTCTATCTCTCATCTATCAAACTCTTGACACCAGGAGCAGCTGTGAGAGCTTGCACACACACACACACACACACACACACACACACACACACACACACACACACACACACACACACACACACACACACACACACACACACACACACACACACACACACACACACAGCCTACAGGACCCCTGGGGACCACAGGCGGACATTGTATAGTAGGCTAATTATCCTAAATTGCTAAAGTAGTAGAGGCTGTGTGTGTGTGTGTGTGTGTGTGTGTGTGTGTGTGTGTGTGTGTGCGTGTGTGTGGATTTCTGTGGATTCCTGGTCAGGATCAGCTGTGTTAAGCGTCCCGTGATATCTAAACTACTNCATAATAGGTCCTCTTTAACAATATACACATTAAAACCCAATCAGCCTCACATGGATTTATAACCATTATATATGAAGTGGCCCTCTGGTAGTGAGGAAGCTTTGTTTGTGGCCCTCTCTATCCTCAAAATTGCCCATCCCTGATATATATTATTGTACAGTCATGTTAATCGTCTCTCTCTGCTTCTGTTTTCGATGTGTTTGGCGACCTCAGTGTTTTGCCTCTGTGGTTCAACGAGACCCACCTTTCCAGCTGTTCTCGTGGCACACCTGCCTGCTGGGCATCGTGAGCTGCTTGGTGATGATGTTCGTCATTAACCCCATGTACTCGTCAGGCAGCATCGTGCTCCTGCTGCTGCTGCTGCTCTTCCTCCACTACAAATCGCCCACCAGCAGCTGGGGCTACATCAGCCAGGCGCTCATCTTCCATCAGGCATCTCCAACAAAGTCAAAGTCAACTTTATTATGTACAGACAGAGAGATCCAAATACCGTTTCCCACTATCCCGAATATACAAATATGTATATACCTCAAAGACACATTTTTACATGTGCAATAAAACACAACAATTAATATATACAAAACAATTATATATGTTTGGAACTATAACATTTGTTTTGATTTAAATGTATTTACGTTTATTTAATACGTTTGCTAGTTTTATTTTAGTTTCAGTTTTGACTTTGTGTCTTTATTAAACAATGCACAAACAACGTTAATCTCAATAGGAGAAAATACGCCATATTTGTGCTAACAGTTAATGGTGGTGGCGAAGTCCATAGGGGCTTGGCTTGGCAACTGGAAGGTCACCAGTTCAAGTCCCGGCAAAGACCAAGTGCTACCGAGGTGTCCCTGAGCAAGGCACCGTTCCCTACACTGTTCCCCGGGCGCCGATCATAATGGCAGCCCACTGCTCCTAACACTAGGATGGGTCAAATGCAGAGAAACCATTTTGTTACCTGTACTACGTAATGATAATAAAAGTGCAAAAATATTAATTACATAATTACACTGAAATAACACTGAAAACATTATTTATTAACTTTTAAAAAACAGATCAAAATCATTAATATATCCAATTCAAATGTTTTATTTCTTTTTATTAGGGCCAGGTTACAATGTCTCAGAAGTATCACATACTACTGTAAATAAATAGATTTGGTTTAACTTTTAAATGGCATTTAATTTAAGTGGTTCAATGTGAATAGGGTTGACAACATTCATGCTGTCTTGTTAAAAGAAAATGTTTTAAAAGGCAATATTATTTTATAAATTTAGATTAGTTGCTTTCTATTCATGTCAAGATTTGTACGGCTTATTTTATTTTAATTTTTTGTGTATAATTTTTATTGAGTGAGTGGGGGTTAGAAAACCTTAAGTCTTTAGTATCAGTTTTAGTTTTCGATATTAACCCTGATCTGGATCCACACACACAGGGTGTTTCTCAATGTCAAGGAAGGATGCTCCAGAGAGACTATTTCAAGGATGCTTGGTCATCGAGTCCCGCCGAAGGACTGTTCCAATGTCCATGCTCCTTGGAATTCTACCGAGCCCGGCGTCCTTCGTTGCGGGACATTTCGAGGCCGCACATGTGTATCCTCCACGGTCTTAAAATCCCCACAATGCTTTGCGCACGGACCAATTTCCAAATCTTTGCCGGAAATCGTAGAATGGTGGAACAGGCTAACAGGTGTGCATCATTTCAGAGGCCCCGCCTTAAATGGAGTTCGATTTCCACCAAAGATTTTGGAAATTGGTCCGTGCGCAAAGCATTATGGGGATTTTAAGACCGGAGGATACACATGTGCAGCCTCGCAATTTCCCGCAACGAAGGACGCCGGCCTTGGTAGAATTCCAAGCATCCTGGACATTGGAACAGTCCTTCGGAAGGACTCGATGACGTAGCGTCCTTGAAATAGTGGCTCTGGAGCAGCCTTCCTCGACATTGAGAAACACCCACACACTAATAAACAGACGTGCCACACAGAGTCAACAACGCTCTCCTCCTCTTGCTTTAGGTGCGTAAGTACCTGCTGATGCTCGATGTGAGGAAGGACCACGTGAAGTTCTGGCGGCCGCAGATATTGCTGATGGTGGCCAACCCTCGCTCCTCCTGCCAGCTCATCCTCTTCATCAACCAGCTGAAGAAGGGCGGCCTGTATGTTCTGGGCCACGTGCAGCTGGGAGATCTGGGTAATTCTCTCTGTGGACGGTCTGGCAGACAACTATTAAATTATTCTTATCTGTGGACGTTTAGCAGCCGACTGGAACTCACCTTTTGGCCTTTTTTATGAGTCTGGAAGCCTTTTGCTGATACATCCAATCAACTTCATCTGATTATTTGTATCACTGAGCCTGAGAGCACGTGATGAGCAGGAGATATTAAAGATTGAAGTCCACCGGCAGCATCATGGAGACTTTCACTTTCCATCTGCTACTCCTCGTGCATTATTAATAAACAAGTATCCTCCGTATCAATCTTACATCAGAGTTTAAAGCAGCCACATGTCCAGCTACTTGCTTGTTTTTGCTAAATGGCACACTCAAACTGTAAAAAACGATATAATGTGTAACAGAACCAACATATTTTAGAGAGCAGAGCTGATGTATTCTTTTATTCATGTATTAACTCAGTTAACCTGTTTTTCTGCCCCCTGGTGAACACTAGGGTACATTGCAAAGTCTATGAACAATACAAATACAACATTTAGTTTATTTTCGCTACTTGAACCGGACCTTTTTTGGTTTGGGACTGGTTGCGTTATCAAATATTTATACCAATAAATTACATTGCATTTAATTTAGCTGACACTTTTATCCAGAGAGTATTACCACAAGTGCAATACACCACATTTTAACCATTGTAATTGCTGGTGCATTAGTTTTAAATGGGCTAAACTCTTTAAGTGCTCACAATAGTTTGTAATATATATTTTTTATTTGAATGGTGTTTCAAAATAACTATTAAATTACCTTTTTGAAATGTTAAATTAGTTTAACTAGACTAAACTGATTGTATTTAAAGTCCACCTCAACCATCTACAACAGTAAGATCCTACTTGTGCAACGATGCATCTCTATTAAAATTAGTCAAGTTATATCATTAATATATATATTGCCGTGGGACTCTGTAATATATATATTAATGATATAATTATGATGTATGAGCTTAAATTAGATTATATGCAGGATTTTTACTTTGAATTGATTATGTTAATGTTTTTCTAAAGTATTAATAACCTTTTCTTTACAATTCATCTGATTTCTTTCCTGCGTTACAGACTCCCTGCCTTCAGACCCGGTGCAGCAGCAGTATAACTTCTGGCTGCGTCTGGTTGATAAACTCGGGGTGAAGGCCTTCGTAGATCTGACGCTGTCCCTCTCCGTCAGACAGGGGACTCAGCACCTGCTGCGCATCACCGGCCTCGGTAAACTCTCCTTCCTCTCCTCATCTAGAAGATTCAAAATTCTATTGTCATATGCACAAAGCTACAGTGTAGAAATGGCAATGATATTCTTCTGACCTGAGCTCCTCCAACAATGCAACATATATAAAATACAAAATTCAAAGTAGTGCAAAAAGTCTACATACATATCAATAGAATATGATATGTACAAGAACTGAATATTAAATAATGTAGATTAAGACTAAATTAAATACGGTTTATTGCGTTCATCTCTGTTCCCAAATTCAGTCCATAAAACCATACTTGTAGCCACAGACTGAAAACTCTCATACACGATGTAAAAACATTTTAAAACACGAGAAAATAGAAAACCCCAATTTAGAAAACACAGACTGATACGTCTTATACGTGGCATGCAAAAGCATGGGAGAACAAGCAGGTCTTTAAACGACATCACAACACTAACTGTACTTCTCTTTCCCTCCACAAGGTGGCATGAAACCCAACACCTTGATTTTGGGTTTCTATGACAGCTGCACTCCTGAAGACTTCTTCCTCCAAGACTCTGCTTTCTGTGACGCTTCTATGGAACTAGGGAGTGAGGGCGAATATAATTTCGGGGTAGATTTGCCGTCGTTACAGGCCCATTTCCCCCCGGTCCGGCATGTGGAGAGCCCCCGCTGGCTGTCCCCAGAGGAATACGTGGGTATCATTTCAGACGCCATTAAAATGAACAAGAATGTGTGTGTCGGGCGCTATTTCTTCCAGTTGGAGGGCGAGGATAAGGACAGTAAAGTGGACGGGTCGGAGCGGACGATCGATGTGTGGCCGCTCAACCTTCTGCAGCCGGGCAGCCGAGACTACGAGGACGTGTGCAGCCTCTTCCTGCTGCAGATGGCCTGCGTGCTCAACATGTCCAACAAGTGGCGCCACGCGAGGATGAGGATCTTCCTGAATGTGGAGACTGAGTCCAGCGACCAGGGCTGGGTGGTGAACGAAGAGACGTTTAGAGAGCTGCTGAAGAAGCTGAGGATCAGGGCGTCGATAAAGATCGTGCCGTGGGACTCTGTGGTTCAGCATCACCTCCAACCCGAAGAGGAGGAGGCTAAACAAGCTCTGTCCGAGGACTTCCTGTCCGCAGTGAACAGTATGTTGATGGAGCACAGCTCGCAGGCCGCTGTTCGCTTCCTGTATTTACCTCGACCCTCTCCGCAGCGCAGCCAGAATCGACAGTACCTGGCTCAGGTGGAAGCAGTGACCAATAGTTTGGGGCCAACGCTTCTGATTCACGGCGTCACCCCTGTCACATCCACTGAGCTGTGAGCATGAGGAGTGTTTATTTATATTGTACGTGCAGCAGGGACTTATCTATGTACGTTTAAACTCTGGCCCTACTTACACATAATGCACTGTTTGTAACCGTTACCATACGTCCACTTACTGCAGCTTTTTCTGTTGCTATTCAAGCTTACAAAAGGTCAACAGTCAAGTGCATTTTTAAATGACGCCCCTTGAGGAGTTGCATTCAAGTAAGGATATTTTCCTATTTAAATATACTTGAAATGGATTGGTGATCGAGCCATGAAATGGAGCATATACTTATGGGCGTGATTTATGTGGATATAACCTCTTGTCTGCATTATATTATCTTAGGCGGAAATTAAAAATGTGTCTGACTCTTTGGAACAAAACTCAATTTGTTTTGATGAATACGGGTTGTCTAGGATTTAATATACATTTATATGTGTGTGTATATATATATATATATGTAACATTTCAGCGCTGAAATTATGAGATTGTGATTACAAGTTGGGGAGACATATTTACCTGGTTCAGTTTCTTAAAAGTATTTTGTTAACGCATAGTAATTTGTTTTTTTAAATCTGCTTTTTTATGCTTTCTTTTCATTTCTTACATTTCTGCTGGTTGCTGGACCAAGTCATTCCTTTTTTTGTTTTGTTTTTTAGTTTAATTTAATAATTTTATTATGTGGAAATCTCTAGTCGTCAGAAGGGAACTGGGAACCTCAGAATTATAAACAGCATTTCTTGCTGTTGTGCGTGCCTACTTGAAAAATAAACTGGGATTTTGTGCTTCATTGTGCAAAAAAGGGGTTACACTGATGATGAGTCTGTGTTACTCGTTAAGTTTGGGACCAACAATGATACCCACCAAATCTAAACCAAAGCAACGTGTTACATTTTCACACAAAAAATGCATTATTACCTATTCACAAATCACAGAATGAAAAGTTAAACCTTTATTGTTTAGGTTTTTTTTTGTGACATTTGGAACAATTACACTAACCTTTTTTTATTTAAACACAAACAGGAAGTTACTGAAAAAACCATCCGCCCGTTTCAATGTTGAGACAGAGCATAAAGAGTCATGTAAACTGTAACAGTCATTATTAGATGTGCAAATTACACTGCTGGTTGTCATTGTGGTAAATATATGCAAAATGTACTGTGTATCTGTGTCACTGTCATGTAAAATCCTATCGGAACATATGTATTTAAAAGATTGCTTTAATGCAATACAAACTGATTGTGTCCTAACGTCTGTCATTAATAAGATAAATACTAATCTAAGAATTGAGATTGAAGTAATGTATACAGATGCATAAAAACTTGATGCAATAATTGAAGATACATAAATACACAAAAGAGAATGTGCATGTATAGTTCAGGCTAATTATTACAGAATAGTAGACTTGGAGTAAACCTCATGTACAGTATCATAATAGCCTAAATGTAGCTATCACACGTCATTCAAAAATGTAGCTTAAGTGCAGATGCAGTCACATGACTAATCCTCCTTTTCAACAAGCGTTTCCTTGCATACTATTTTATAATATTTGTCGGATTCTGCTTTATTTCGTAGCTTTCTGATGAAGAACGTTGACATACGAAACCAGTCTGGCAGCAGTATTGTGAGAGCAATGTTCTGTAAGGTGATGGGAAAGAGGGGGGAAAAGATGTTATAAGATATCGCAGCAGCTGACGGTTGGTAAGTGATCACAGACTCTCATTCCTCTGACCTGGAGAACGTGGGACAGAGAGCCACTGGTGAGTGGTGAAGCTGGAGAGACCCACAGTGTTCAGGCAGGGGCGGACTGGGGGGAAAAAGTGGCCCGGGGATTAATTGACAGACAGGCCCACTTAATGCGCGGCATGTATCGGCCGGCCGGCGACGAAAGTATGTTAACAAAAAACCCTATGCATTTTATGTTATTTTGGACCATTATTCATATAGTAATCACATTACCTGAGCCCTTGAGTTGCCTAGAGCAAAGTAGTTACAGCATATATTTATTGATTTTAATTTCAACAGATCATTGATGCAATAACATTTGGACCCAATTTGCCTGACTTGACGCATGGCATAAAACATGGGCGTGGGAAGCGTAGGAAGCATCCTCAATGTGGGTGAGACAATTTAACAGGGGGTGTGGGCAGGTGGTGGACCTGAATCTTTTTTCAGAAAAGTTGAAGTTAAATGCATCAATCTGGTGCACTTTGAGAGCAAATTAGGGACTAAATCTACGGATATATCTCTCAACACCCATATGAAACAGAACTGTCAACATTTATTTGAACAGCAAGTGGAGGCAAAACCCAAAACAATAAACCTGCTAGCTAACTAGCCTAAACTCAGTAACAGAATGTGGGCAACACGTTCTTCTCCACAGCCGCGCGACCTCTGAGTCAGACGTCATTTTTTTTCTATTTTTCTATTTTTCTATCCTACGGGTACAGCCACTCCCCCTGAACCCCGTTTCCCTGCCATTCCCATGAATAATGGACTGTGTTTGGTCAAGTTAAACTTCCCTTCACATCATACACATTATTATTATTATTATTATTATTATTATTGTATGAGTGCCTCTGTGACATGTCTCCATGCTTTAATGTTCAAAAAGCTCTTTATTTTTCTCATACTGCCTGTGCTGCAGCACCTCTTTTCACCCTCTGTCTGAAACCAGGGCCCAGTCTGCTCTTATTGGTTTGCTGACCGGCTCTGTTGTGATTGGTTAACCGCATAGAGATGTCCCTCCCCTTGCCTATCACATAAAAAGTGTTGGAGCGCTAGCCAATAGAAGCACATAGTGATGTCACTATGTCTCACAAGTAAACAAAGGAGTCCAATGGAGGCGTTTCAGGCAGGGGAAAGAGTGTGTGTGAGAGAAACTCCCTTTGGAGGGAACTTTGGGATTTAAGGAGCTTTTGCAGACCATTAACATGCACAGAAACCTACATAACACACTACAGGAAATACAAGGGAAAACCCCAAAAAGCATAATACGGCCTTTTTTAAAAGTGCTTTTTGTTTGAGAAGTCAATCAATCAATGTTTATTTATATAGCCCAATATCACACATGTTACATTTGTCTCAGTGGACTTCACAGTTTGTACAGAATATCAGTATGACAATACGACACCCTCTGTCCTTAGACCCTCTGTCCTTAGACCCTCACAAGGAAAAACTTCCAGAGAAAACCTACAGTTTAAAGGGGAACATGGGAGAAACCTCAGGGAGAGCAACAGAGGAGGGATCCCTCTCCCAGGACGGACAGACGTGCAATAGATGCCGTGTGTGAATCAAAGAGATAATACATTTACAACATAGGTAGACCAAATGTTTGGAAATGCATGTGTCTATAAGAAGAAGATGAATCCACGAGGATGTCAACAAATGACATAAGCTCAACGTGCAACAGTTTGCAAAGCACCAGCTGTGTTTGCGAGAACAGCTAAAGGTTAATTGGTATAACCTTGCGTATTATTGATCCATGAAAGACTCGCGTGCAAATATTGGCAGAAAACTCCAAATGTCAACAGGAAGAGAAATATCATGGATCGAAGCACCTGCTGCAGGCAGTCATTATGTAATGAAAGTAATTCCAGAATCGTAAAATCTTGGTTGCTGCTGGTATTTTATTCACTATTCTACAATTCTATAATTTTACATTATTTTGTCTTTAGTATAGCCGAGGATCAACAGGGAGGAGATGAGATGCGAGCAAAAGGGCCGATTCCAGCCTGCACCCACTAGAAACAGTAAGTTCTCGGAAATTTATCAGTCCAAATGTTTTCCCTCATTTAAAATAACATTATTCTCATTTAGCTGACGCTTTTATCCAAAGCCGACTTACAGGGGAAGCTGCTTTCGACCACCAAGACTACACAACTTGAAGAAAACAGAATCATAATAAGACATCAGGTTTCATAGAGCCAAAACATTTCAAGTGGCTAACTCAAACTGGCTTTAGATAAGCCAGTTCTTTATTGTAAGTAAGTCCTTTGTCATGTATATAAGTGCTTTTAATTTTGTTTTTTGTTTTCTTGTTTTTCATTTTAATTGCTCGAAGTGGAGTCTCAAAGAGATGAGTTTTCACGACCTCTGCCGCGGAAGATGTGTAAGCCTTTCTGCTGTCCTGATGTCAAATGGAGGGGCTCATTCCACCCATTTTGGAGCCAGGGATACGCAACACGTGTCTTTTTGCTGATGGGAACTTGGGTCCCCTCGCAGATGCGGTGTGCAGCGAGCTGTTTGGCTGATGCAGAGCGAGTGCACGTGCTGGGGTGTACGGTTTAACCATGTCCTGGATGCTAAGGAAGGGCCAGATCCATTCACAGCATGCGTACGCAAGTACCAGTCGTACCTTTGAAGTGGATTCCTAGCAGTTAGCGGCAAGCCCAGTGAAGGAGCGGAGGAGCGGTGTGGTGTGGGGAACATTTAGGGAGGTTTGAAGACCAGACGAGCCGCTGCAATTCTGGGTGGGTCCACAGGAGGGTGAGAAGATGGAAAATAGTTTTTGGGGATTGGAATAGGGAGAATGGATCTTATCTTGAAAAAAAGTGCTTTATTGCCTGAGAGATCGAAGAAGTAGAAAAGAGGAGGGGAGAGCTTGATAGGTTTAAGGGTTGTCATGAATGTTTGGACTTCCAACCATTTCCGCTCAGCTGCCCGGAGCGAATGGTTTCTACTTAGCACGGCAGTGCGTCAGTTTAGCCAGGGAGCAGGAGGGGACTGAACGAGCCTGCCGAGATGTGAGAGGACAGCAGAGAGTCCAGAGAGGACAACTGTAAACACCACTGAAGTGACTGGAACCCACAGGCAATCAATCGACTCGATCCAATCAGCCAGTGAAACCACCTTGATCAATCAGCCAATTAAATCTCTAAAATAAAATCGGGCTAATCAAAATCAATTTGATCCAAATCAGCCAATTAAATCCTCTTAATATAATGGCCATCAATAGTATCCAATCAGCCAGTACCCACTCGATCATTGCAGGCTGCAGGTGCAAGGAGTATATTGTAGAAGACAGATATTGTAGTAATCTACTGATACCGACATTTAGACAAAATATCGCTCTTTACCCAAATTTACTGTTATTCGTTGCAGAAATCAGTTTTCAACTATAGGACTCATACTTTTTCAATGATATGTCTGTTTAAAGACAGTGGAAATTCAATTATAGTTCCCGTTCGCTGTTGCACAAAATCGTTATGTTTTTTGCAATAATAATAATATTGATATGTTTACATCTTGGTTTAAAATGGACAAAAAAGCTCTGGGAATGTTTATTGCGTACATTTGACTTCCCCATGAGTCTCAAACATATAACTCCAATAGGACAGAAACCACTCAAAATGTATCCAGTGCGTTAAAATTCTTGATGTAAAAGCTGTTTCCTCGACTGGAAAATGGCGGCGCATCTTGGAAGATGGTCCGCAAAGTTGGAGTACAGTGACAAGTGCTAACGGGGGTGGCTTTTTGAAAAATAAGATCACGGTCAAAGGAATGAACATACGACCCTTTACTAAAGCGTAGAGGAGGACTCACCTAGAGTGGTCATACTTTACCTGCACTGCGGTGATTCCCTTTAGACCTTGGTACTCAGCATGAAGAGCACTGGAGAGAATATATTGACAAAAAATCTGAAGAACGTATAGAGGAAGAGGTCACAAAAAAAGCAGAAACAGGAGGGTTCATGTTGAAGAGGGGAGTTCTCATTAAAAGGTTGTTGATAAGTGTGTAAAGTAAGCAGAAGACGGTGGAAGGGAAGAAGTGACGAGGTGAGAGTGGGCACAGATAAAGGGACAAGAGACGGCTGTGGACGGACGCCAACCTCAAATGATGCTGTTGAGTATCAGCCCTCATGCCTCTGGGTACGAGATGAAAATAATGTCTTATTTTGCGTATATATGTGAAACCATTAATGTCTGATGTTTGTTACAATACCTTTCAATCATGCCTGGAAGAACCAGTTCGGGTCATCTAAGTAAAAGAAATATGAACCATCATTCCTTTTTTAATGCAAGGATTCTAATTTGTGTAACAGTTGAAAAGCCACTTCATAACGCACCAACCAAACAGAAAATACTCAAATATCTTACTTGAGGAACTGATCTCTGTTAAAAAACACAGGTAGGGTAACTGTTAGTTCATACATTTGAGACAAATAATAACCTCTTACAGTTAGTAAAACACACATCATCCCTTGCAGAAGTTAATCTGTTCAGAATCTGGTTATCCTT